ATTATTGATTTATAGTATTTTCTGACTTTTATCCTTATTAAAGTAAAGAGCTATAAATTTTGTTTCTCAAAAAGAAACATAAATAATCTATAAAGTTTTATATATTAATTACTTTAAGGATTCATCATTATATTAAATATTGTATAAACTTCTATCAACTGGCCACTATAGAATAAAATCAAAGACCTGGTAAAGAAAAAAGATTTAAATTTGGAAATCTTGAAGATCAAAGTCCATAGAACCAATAGATTTAACAGTAAAGTAGATTTACTTGCTAAACAAGCTAGGTAGAAGAATCCAATAACTTGGTATTAGCTACCAGAGCTAGAAAGAGTTCTCACAATAGCCATATGAAGAGAATATATAATAGAGATTAGTATCAGATATTTCATCAAAACATTCAATAAGAAAAGAATTGAACTAGACAATACAGAAAAGGATTCAGGATCTATGGACTTTGAATTGTTCCCTTCCTTAAGCATTTTTTTTCTTTTCTCTTTTTAATTTAGTAATTCATTGGTTTTCAGACAATCAATAGTGACAAACTGTTGATAATGATTCTAGTAGATAGATGTTATTATCAATCTATTAGAGAAGTGAAATATTGTTTCCAAAATCTGACTTAGAGTACACTTGTATGAAGATGAGTTAGTTACTTTGTGAAAGTCTGTAAAATATTGTAAATTTCATTTCAATTTTTCAATAAAAACATGCCATTGTGATATAATTGCGGGTTAAAAAAAAAAAAATACTTAGAATTATTTAAACTAAGACAAGTAAATTACTTAGAGAATTAACTTTTATAAAATAAAATTAAAAAATTTTTTTAAAAAACCTTGTTAATAATAAAATAAATAACTTTGGTTTATTAAATTATTAAAAATTAAAAAGTATAAAAAGTTCGGAATTTATAAATTTATAAATAATAAAAATTTTAATTATAATTATACAAACATGACACGTGATAAGCCATAAACATTACTTTTGAAGGCCCCCACATTCTATTTATTTTGCAGAAAAAAAAAATACTTAATAGTGACGTTTTAATCACACTATAGGTACACCGTGACAAATTCATTACACGTGATGCCGGGCACAAAATTCTCTGATTCGGCCGTATGCCTCTTGCAATTTTTCTGGTGGTGCAGTAAAAACGATCCTTACTGTGATCGATACAAAAAAAAAAAAAAAAATTCAAAAGTTAACGGATGTTCATCCATACTTGAAATCTATAAATTCAATATTAGCTGAATTTACCGTAATTGGGATAATGGAAACACTGCGAATAAAATTTAAATCGGTTTAATAATGAAAATAGTTGTCAATAGAGTACTATCTCGTTTGTTATTTGTCTATAAATTCATCAAAAAAAAACAAACAAACCAAAACAAACAAACCTTTCCTGGCAAACACGCAATCGACTCTTCTTCAAGTAATTTCTCCGAAAACTCTATGTCATTCTTGATATCCTTAAATTCATCAACATTAATCCCAACCATCATATACATCGCACCTTGCGGCACTATAACATGCAATCCTGGTATGCTGGACAACACCTCGGCTGACAATTTGGCATTGACTTCCAATTTTCGATTGGTCTCTCGATGGAACTCATCGGGAGTATTTAATA